GAGAGAGAGAGGACACACTACGGGAGAGAGGAGACACACAGTTAGTGATGTGTAATGGTGGCATATAGAAGCATAGGGAGAGAGAGGAGAGGAGAGCAGAGAAGGAGGTGAGGGGAAAGAAACTCAGAGCATCATGGGGCCCCCAGCAGCCTAGGCCTATAGCAGCATAACTAAGGGAAGGCTCAGCCCTAACTATAAGCTTTATCAAAAAGGAACGTCTTAAGTCTAATCTTAAAGGTAGAGAGGGTGTCCGCCTCCCGAACTGAGACTGGGAGTTGGTTCCATAGGAGAGGAGCTTGATAGCTAAAGGCTCTGCCTCCCATTCTGCTTCTGTGGACTCTAGGAACCACAAGTAAACTTGCACTCTGAGAGCGAAGTGCTCTGTTAGGATGATAAGGCTCTACGAGGTCTTTAAGATATGATGGAGCCTTGTCATTAAGGGCTTTGTATGTTAGGAGAAGGATTTTAAATTCTATTCTGAATTTTACAGGGAGCCAGTGGAGAGAAGCTAATATGGGAGAGATATGATCTCTCTTGCTAGTTCCTGTCAGTACTCTGGCTGCAGCCTTTTGGATTAACTGGAGGCTTTTTAGGGAATTATTGGGATATACTTATAGTAAAGAGTTACAGTAGTCCAGCCTGGAAGTAACAAATGCATGGACCAGTTTTTCAGCATCACTTTGGGACAGGATGCTCCTGATTTTTGCAATATTGGGCAGGTGAAAGAAGGCAGATCTAGAGACTTGGATTTTGTGTGATTTAAAGGACATATTCTGATCAAAGATGACTCCAAGGTTCCTCACAGTAGTACTGGAGGCAAGAGCTATGTCATCTAAAGTAACTATATGATTAGACAGCAGATTTCTAAGGTTTTCAGGCCCAAGCACAATAACTTCAGTTTTGTCAGAGTTTAGAAGTAAGAAGTTGCAGGTCATCCAGGCCTTTATGTCTTTAAGACATGCTTGAAGTTTGACCAGCTGACCTGATTCATTTGGCTTCATAGATAAATATAACTGAGTATCATCTGCATAGCAATGGAAATTTATGTTGTGCTTCCTGATAGTATTGCCTAAAGGGAGCATGTATAAAGTGAAGAGAATTGGACCTAACACAGCCCTGTGGAACGCCGTGACTAACTTCAGTTTGTGTGGAACATTCGTCATAAACATGAACAAATTGAAATCTTTTTGATAAATAAGATTTGAACCAACTTAGCGCAGTTCCTTTAATCCCACTAACATGTTCAAGTCTCTGCAGTAAGATGTTGTGATCAATGGTGTCAAAAGCAGCACTGAGATCTAAGAGGACAAGTATGGAGACAAGTCCTTTGTCCGAGTCCTGTTTGTCACATTTATCTTTATATTACCAACACTTTTCTTTGTGAGAAAGCTCAGGAGTTTTGTTCTTGATCAGAATGTTGTCATAACTGAGGGCAAATCTACTTTCTTTTGCAGCATGGGGGTCTCTGAGGAGAAGAAGGAACCATGTGGAACCGTCTGTTTGAAATACCTCCTGTTTGCTTTCAACTTTCTCTTTTGGGTAAGTTTCCATTCAGATTCGAGCCTTAAGGACTTAATTGCTAAGGTGATTATGTTGCCGGTCTCATGCGCTCCTCAAGCTCATTTTGGGGGGGGGCAAGCATGATCTGGTTTTGTAACTTTTAAGGCAGCCTGGATATTTTGTCTGCTGGTTTGGCTTGAGATCTTCAAGCGCACGAAAACAAAAAGACGTCAGACAGAGCATGAAACACAACCAATCAGGCAGTCATACAAGGTTTAAACAAACCCCCATACTGTATAGGCAAACCTATTGTAGTTGGAAGAGAAAACAAAGGACAGTAAGTATCACACTTACAGACCTAGTTAAACTTTGGCAGTCTATACATGCCCTATTTCTGCTCTCACACAGATCTCCTGTGACATTTCAGTTGCACTTTTCTTTGAGATTTACCTCCAAATAAAATTGTTTATATAATCAAGTGAAGTACAAAAGCTGCATATAATTCTTGCTTACAACCTGTCTGATTGCTCGGACTTCATTATAGTGACCTGTGTCTGTGTGTGTGTGTGTGTGTGTGTGTGTGTGTGTGTGCCAGATCTTGGACAATATTTTAGTGGCCAAAAAGTACAAAAGTAAAACCCTAATAAACATATTTTTCTTTACACTCTATCTGCAGTTGAGATGTGTGTAGAGAAAAAATAGCCTCAGTACTTTAAAACTTACCAAATTGTTTTGGAGGTAAAAGGCACTTCTCAGGCCCTTTCCTTTTACTTTTCTTGATTTCAAAATTACATTCAAACAATTAAATTTCATTAGCATGGGTCACCCACAGCTAACCATAACCTATACATACAGTATACTGCCCTCGTTCTGCGTGACTCGGTAGAACTAGACAGTTAATGTGAACTTAGAATCCAAAAAGATTCAAACAAGGCTTGCTTTTCTTGTTATTTTTTTAGTCGTTTTCCAAGTTATGATTTTCTCGTAAAACTGTAACAAATACAAACATAGTACATTAATTAAACACAAAGTGAACCAGCTATTACACGCACACAAAACAGATACTAATTGTTACGTGTGAGTGTGGTGCAGTTGCAGACAGAGACCAGGAGGAGTAGGAGCTACAGAAGTGTTTTGTTGAACAAAACACAGGTAAGGCTGGGTGGCAGGAAGACGAGGAACCAGGAGGAGACCAGACAGGAACCAAGAGGGATGAGGATTCAATAGCAAAAATGAAAGTGAAACTTCAGCAAGAAACAAAACCTATGGAATGAGCACAAGGTGGCAGCTTACTCACATCCCTTTACCAAAAAACTATCATAATGTAAAAAAACTAAAACTGCGTTTCAATGAAAGGCAGCACACTCCCCGCTTGGTATATTATTAGTATACCACTATACATCCTCTAATCTTACTCAGAAAGCAGGACAACAATCTCTGAGATCGGTCTCAAAAACACTTTGGCAGTTCCGTCCTTCACTGTTTTGACCTCTACTTTGCGAACCTTTTCATCAGTGTCTGGTAGAGTCCTGACAACCATTCTCACAGGCCACACATTTCTATGGGATTGGCTGTCTTTAATGAGCACAATGTCCCCAACTTTAATGTTCGGCCTTTCTTCAGTCCACTTCCTGCGGTTCTGAAGAGTAGACAGGTACTCTGCCTTCCATCTTTTCCAAAAAATGTCTGCAAGACACTGCACCTGCTTCTATTGTTTTCCATGTAACTCCGCCATTTGGAAGTCCCCAGATGGAGCAGAGACTGCGCTCATCTTTTGCGTAAGAAGCATCGCTGGTGTGAGGACTGTAGGCATATCTGTATTGGTAGACACAGGTACCAGCGATCTTGCATTCATGATGGCCATCACTTCAGCCATAAGGGTGCTCAAGACCTCGTGAGTAAGCAGCATGTGAATTGACTGAACCAGCATGGCATCCAGGATGCGTCTAGCAACACCAATGAGTCTTTCCCAAGAACCTCCCCTATGTGAAGCATGCGGGGGGATGAACACCCATGTGCATCCTTTTGCTCTGGAGGTAGGCCTCAACAGTTGAATGCTCAGCTTCGATGCCCAGCTCTTTGCAGGCGCCAACGAAGTTAGTTCCTCTATCAGAGCGGAGGAGCTTGGCCGGCCCACGTACTGCAAAAAAAACTTCTGAAAGCATTGATGAAACTGTCAGTTGGCAGGGATTCGATCAGCTCAATATGTACAGCTCTGGTACACATACAAGTGAACAGCACTGCCCACTGTTTACTTTCTGCGCACCCTCCTCTGG